AACTCTATCATCTTGGAGTGCCGGGAAATCTCTCATATGGGACGCCACTGTATGGGATACGCTCGCTCCATCTCATCGGAGCCTTGCTGCTCGTTCGGCGGGCGGGGTTGCGGAGTTGGCTGAGAAAAGGAAACTCGAGAAGTACCGGGAGCTTGAAAGCCGCTATATCGTGCAACCAGTTGCGTTCGAAACGTTGGGTGTCTTCGGAGGGTCCACGGAGAACTTTTTGAAGGACTTGGGCAAGAGAATCGAGACAGAATCGGGAGACACACGAGCTACGGAGTTCCTGCTGCAGCGTATGGCGATTGAGGTTCAGCGAGGGAACGCGGCCGCAGTACAGGGCTCCCTTCCTTTCTCGGACGGTCTGCCTGGTGTGGGATAGTTGGGCTGTTTTTGCCCATCCCAATATTATTACTTGTTATAACCTAAATAAAATGTCCCATTTCGGATGACGAATATCTGGAATGCTCATGAGAGTGTCAGGAAAGTACGACCATGGAAGCTGCCATATGCCAATGCTTCAGAGTCACGTATTGGCTGAAACGAATTGCGAGCCGTTGTCCGAAACAACAATCGTTTGTGGTGGGCCGAAATGTCGGAACACGACTCTCATGTAGGCAATCAGAGTCTGACTAGTGGCCTGAGTCATCCACGCCGCATCGAGATATTTGGAGAAGCTGTCAACGATGACCAGGAAAATTTTTCCTCTCTGAGGTTCGGCGTAATCCAAATGAATTCGAGTCCACGGACTTTTTGGATCGGGCCAGGGCTGCAGCGGTATCTTGCGCGGATTTGCGGCGTGTTGGATGCAGTGCCTGCAACTCTTCACCAACCCTTCGATATCTTTGCCCATTCCTGGCCAGTAGCAGTAAGCCCGTGCGAGCGCTTTCATGCGCCGGACACCTGGATGCGCGACGTGTAGTTTGTGGAGCACAGCTTTACGAGGGGTTGCGGCACGATGAGGCGATCATTCAGTAGAAGGGATCCATCGGTCTCGCATAAGCTTTCGGCCTGTTGAGCGAAAGGCCGGAGAACCGGATCTCTACAATCGTCATCG